GGGGGGGGGGGATGTAGGAAAACTGGAGCAGACAGAAGCTGAAGCAGCAGTGCACAGTATCCAATCTGCTTCTAGCTTCATCTTCTTCTGTTAACCAATGAAAATGAAAGCTAGAAGCTGGTTGCCGTGCACAGCTAGTTTTAGTACATTTCCCTCTCTGTGTATTCAGTAGTTCTGCAGAACAGCTCGGCTGCTAATATAAAGAAAAGAGCAGTAGTAACTAGATAGATAAACATATTGACATTCAGATTTTAGCATGTTTTTAATTTTATAAATGAGTTATTAAATGTGTTAATGTGTCTCTTTAAATGAAATGTTTTCTGTTTTTTAAGAGATAACTTATAATTATTGTTTGTTTTTGTGCTTACTTTTGGTGGCTTTAAGAGCATGTTATGATTGTACACACTTGAAAATGATTGAGAACATGTATTTCAAGAATTTGTTTTGTATGAAGATAAACTAAACATCAATTCTGTAATGAAACATGTGCCTTCATGCAACAATATAGTAGTTCCTGGCATATTATTAGATAAAAATGGAGTAAATGTGTCAAAAATGTATCTCTTATCCTGTCCCTCTTTATTTGCTTGTTATTCGTACCTTACTAGACCAGCAAGACATGTACAAGATTCCATTTGTGTTTGTATAAGGTAAAATCATTTACGCAGCATATTTTTGTGGTTATATACAATTTTTTGGCTACATTACATTTGAAAAAGGTTTGCATAACTGCCCTGATAGTTTACACACTGCTAAAAGGTACACCACCAATATTTATCACTGTACTTAAAACACACTGGTGTGAACAGGCTCATAGTGTTTCCTGATTCAGCCTTGCAGCTTCCTGTGCAAGCCCCTCCTCATTGAATAGACCTGCTGATGATGATTGTCCAAGGAGCAGGCAGGGAGTTATTTATTACATCTATTTATACAACATTGACAATTTACATAGCTCTTTACATATTGTACATTCACACCAGTTTCTGCCCTCAAGGAGCTTACATTCTCCAATGGCCCATACCACACATGCATACATACATGTACTAGAACCAATTTTCGACAAGAGCCAGTTAAGCTACAAAATGATTCTTTGCTTAGCTACTTGTACGTATGAAAGTTAATAAAATAGCTTAAAATAAGTTGCTAGTTTTAATTAACATTTTGTGTAAATGCAATTTAAAAAAAATAATGAATAAATGAACACAATAATTGTGTGTTGTACCAAAATCTTAATGAAATGTAGTCCGTACAACACAGTATTTTGTGTAGGAAGGACTGGCCATAGTAAATGTCACCGATCCCTAAATAGATTAATCAAATTTGTATTGAATC